ATACACGTTAAGACTGATTATGATATCAAGTTAGTACTTGTTTGTTTTAGTATAATGTATTTTGATGACATTTTGATCCAACTCTTATTAAATCAATTGGCACGAGTTATCATATAAAGAAGGAAACAAATCACTGAAATTATGTAAAAGAAAAAATTGATTTATTGGAGGTGATAAGTTTGTTTCGACAGATTATCTGCACTACATTGTGAAAATATTCATATTTTGTTTCAAAACTAAATTTGGTTTGGCCAAGTTGACCCATGACATTGACGTGGTGTGGCCTACGTTGTAACACAAGTTGTATCATGTTTTAAACTATTTTACAAATGACCCGATTTGAAATCTTGGTGCCTCGGACATTGTTTTCAGAAATATATATAATCAAAAGTGACTAATTTTATCATTTTGTGTTCGGACAATGCTATCAGAAATATATTTCGGGGAAACCAAAAGTGTGACTAATTTATCATCTTTTGTTCAGTAGATGTAATCCAATCAAAAATATGAAGTTACCTTCTGACTGTTTTCATCCAGTGTAGTTGAATAACTAACATGGAGTTGTACTCTCCCAACTTGCTCATGCTCCGGTTCACGGTATATATAGCACGAACGAAGCTTCTCCCTCTGCAATAACATCATTTTGAATGAAAATAATATAAGAAAACAAAAAATGTGAGATTACACAAATCTTATATAATAAATTTGGGATTCAGAAGTGACTTACCAGTTCATCAGCAATATCGGCCACCTGAAGTAAAGCTTGGCCACATCGCCTTCCCTTTGAATCGTGTATTTCAATCACCAGATCATCTCCAAATCCTTCTGGCAAGCTATAAAACAATAAAAAGTTAATGGTATGAAGTACATATAGAAGATCCTTGAAAAAAAAAAAAAAATTGCACGTACAATACGCGACTTTCATCCGATCCTGGTTGTATTCTAACCGCATCCTCTTCTGGAGAGCTTTTTAGCCTCAACGTACAAGAATATGATTCTGTAATTAAATAAAATGGAGAAAAACATAGTCAGCTAAAAAATCAGAGGTCAAGAATACAGGTGTTCGACACTTCATATCATTCTATAGCTAAACATATTCTTGAAGCATCAGAATTGTCCTTATGGACGACTTCGAAAAATGGGGCCATCTAGCAGATTTGTCAGGTATTCCTATAGTATTCAGTACGAAGGGGAAAATATATAAATAAACATATTAGTGAATAATGAAGAAGAACTGTAACCAATCCATTGAAAAAAAAAAGCCAGAAATACATACCTTGTACTTCTTCAGATGATGATGAACTGCTTCTGAATGCCTTGAAACCAGCTTTAATGAGCTCAGGAACTTCTTTTAAGTACCGACGAGTTCCAACAGTAATATATGCCAAACTCTGTTGGAATAAAGAGCCATCCACAACAACAGTTGGTGCCACACGTTCTCTTTTTAGTGCTTTCATCTCGGAGGAAACAATTGATTTCACATTGGATAATTTATGCTGAAATGTTTCCATCTTCACAACTGATGCAGACTTTAAATATTTAAATGTGCATCCTGTGGGTGGTTCGAACCCCATTTTCACTTTCCTCACTGCAAGACAAAAGGCAGAGTTTTATGAAAGATGTTAGCTCACATGCATTTTCCTAAAAAAATATAGAAAAAAGAAAAAATAATAAATTACCCTGAAGGTTTGAGCTAATTACAAACGAGAACATTTGAGATAATTACAAACGAAACCGTCGAAGTTCCAATTTTATGAAATATAAACCGTGAGGCATGATTTTTCTGGTTACTGTGATGTTTTTATGAATTTCTGTTTCATACACTTTTGAAAATTTCTTTGGATCCTTGTTAATAATATCTCAAACAGAAAGGGTGCTTTTTGAATATGGAACCTAGAATTTTGATCTTGCCAATGGTCTTCTTAGTCTTTACAGAAACTCCTTCACCAACAAGCTCTGGAGACTGTTTTCTTAAGAGCTCTTCCTCTGCCTGCAACAATATGTTCCTGAGCCTACAATAAATGAACAGCAACTTATGATACGTCAAAGGAGTGAATTCCAATAATCCAAGAAGGTGATCATGTTTACATGTTGAACGATTTGAATAATCCAATATAAGTGTTACAATATAAGTGTAGTTTCCAAAACTTCAATAATTAAAGTACGAGAAAGTTACATATAAATATAGTATCTTGTACAATTTGTTGTTTAATATTCTCCATTAAATTATTGAATGTCTGCAAAGATATAGCCCAAGTTGTGCAATAACATTAAAATGACAACCTCAGTTAAATAACCAGAAATTTATAAAATTAATACCAAGTTATCCCAAATACACGAGGAACAAATTACAAAAGTCGACACAAAAGAAAAGGTCAGCATCCAAGACTATAAGAAGGAATAGAAAAGTAAAAGCAGAGAATAATTACACAAATGACACATGCAAATAACTGAAAAATTACCCAAATGCATCCCTCAGAAGAGCACACTCGTTCGCCAAAAATGCAGGAGCTTCCTTACGCCCATCCCTTGACCACGAGTGAAGGCATAACCGAACACAAGCATCATACGCGATGACACCACACCAGTGACCTAACCCACTGTCTCAAGTTTAAACAAAAAAAAATAAAAAAATAAAAAAATAAAGGGATTAATGAGCAGGTCTTTCAAAAGAGGGCAATTTCAAAGCAAATACACCAGAACCCACACTAAATACATGGGATAACTACAATAACTATCTGTGATTCAGCATAATTACATAAGTTCCCACTAATATTACAAAAATACTACTCAAGATTTGCAGGAACCTAACAACTTTCCCCTTTTCCATTGTGCTATCTGTGAAGAATGTCAATTCATAACTCTGAAAGATAATGAATGTTTTTTTTTAATTACTGTTGAAAAGTAATCATAACTAAATGTTTGTTACATTAAAATACTATTCAGCCAATCACGAGAATACAAGCTCGATTACCTTGCATGGAATGTAGGATATCGAGTATTGTGCAATGGATTAGAGGATGCTGCAGCAGTCCTGTTGAGAACCATAAAAACTCACCTCAACCAAAGAAAGTAAATGTTAAACGAAGATACTAACCAATATTTTCGTCTGTGAATAAGTTTGGGAAGTTTTATGAAATACCCAAATAAATTACACACCTTGTGGACACATCAGAAGCATTAAATTCAGTAGCACCAATATTTGTCCCCTTGCAAGCATTTGGTTCAACTGCAGTTGCACTGGCAGTTGCCAATGAAGGTTTAACATTAGCTTTCGAAGCAGAAAGTTCACTGAAAGCTCGATCCCATGAGCCACCCAATGGCGGTGCACTCGGTATACCAGCATTTAACTCACTCTGTGGTGGGCCACTNCAAGATGTCAAATGTAAAACAAACAAATAAGGACGTTCTATAGGTGTTGTAAACTAAAAGGCAAATTTTTTTTTGGAAAAAAATTGTGCCTTTTAGATCAAGGGCACACTATAAATCAACCAGAAGAAGTACAAATGATAGTTCTTAGCCATAACACTATACCTAGTTAGGCCTACAACTTGCTCATTGATCAAAGAAATCAAATAATAAACGACACCTAACACCTCAAGTAGTTAGCACTTGCAGATGTTAGCCCGTGCACACATTCTATTAACAAACAACTGAAAAGTGAAAACGAACCCGTTGCAAAGTCTCGAAATTTGCCTGAATCTTGAACTTCCTCTCTAAAACAAGCCCATTGTTGCTGCTCCCAGTTCGCGAGTAACTTAGTTTTGTGCCACCACTGGTAACTTTATCATCCTGAGGCGATGCCTCGAGAGAGTAACGGGCACCATCATCCTCGGAATCCGAGCAAGTGTCCATGTCTGATTCACACAAGTGATATCTTGAGGCTGGATTACCTGTCGTTTTTATTCCAGAGGGCATGTGCCCACTTCGAAACTTATAAACAGAAGGCATTCCCTGATTTAGCATTTGGAATCAGTACCTAATTTCTCCTGCGATTCAAATATTTAAAAACATAAAATCAGTATTTTTTTTAGATCACAAAGATTATCAGTACCAAGAAGTCCTGCGGGTGGATGCATCATCATACTTCATGATTTTGCTAAAATAAAATTTCGATTTTTGCTTTGTAAGCTAAAAGATTGAGTTTTGATCGGCTGTGGAGTGAAGTATGATTAGTAGTAAACAAGTAACAATACACACAGCGAAATCTGAAAGAAAATGTATAAACCTGATTTTGCCGATTAAATTTTCAGCCGCAAAATAAAAAAGAGTTCTCTTTGAACTAAATCTCCAGTCGCCACGAATATATAACAAAAAAATTAATTAATTGCTCAGTCCTAAAAAACCCAGGCAATGTAGAAGAATAACAGAGAAGCTACCATTAATTAATAGCCTCAAAAGGAAAATCTCTGCTCCAAAGCAAACAAGAAAAGATGAATATGGTAACAGCGTACCACATTAATATCACTTACAATGTTAGAAAATCCAGCACAGAGAACGGAGGATCCTCACTACCCCGCTGTGAAGAACTTTCCTTTTTCAAGAAAATCGGTCCTTTTCTGTCTGTATCTGCCCCACATTTTTTCCTTAATTCTTAAACCTCATAATATCCCACATTCCGATTTCCCTCAATGATTCTATTATTGTTTTGTCCCTAAATTAGAGCTAACTAATCTAAATTAAAGATGTTAAAGTATATCGAGATCAACCCATTTTCCTTTTATGTTTCAGCTTTTTTTATTCTTAATTTCCTCCTGAAATGAAGGCAAACGTTAAAAAATACTGAAAAGCGGTGAAAGTCTCGTGGGTGGTAACGTGGGAGTTTGAATCATCAGACTCTAGCAACGGCCGTTTAGTGGCTTGTACTATAAAAATTAAGGATGCTTTTAGTACTTTTAATTAATTCAGCTTTTTGGAGCTTTATTATTAGTCAAAATTGCAAAAAAAAAAATTGTTTTATCAAAAGATGGAAAACATATTCTTAACCAGAAAAGTAAAAAACTTTTCTTGAAATAAAGCAATCAAAATTTTAAATAAAGAATAATTCCATATATCATAAATTATAATCTTTATTATTTTCTCAAAATTCTTATATCAGAAAATTTAACTATTAAGTAAGTTGATCCGTCATATATTTTTGAATAAAAATGTATATTATATTATGAAATGTCATAATTTATTTATGTTGTTTTTAAATTATGACATTTAATCTAAAATTATGTAGAAAAATATAATTATCTAATTATTATGTGTATCTAACAAATAACAATGGTCTCATAAGTTGAGCTAATATTTATTTTAGTAAAAATAGGATATTTGGTGATGTACCGAATAGTTTTATATCAAAATTATGTCATCGTTATCGAGTCAATGTTGATTTGTATATTATCATAGTTTTCAAAATAAAAAAATATATAAAATTACATATTTTCTTCAATAAAATTATGTAATTCTATCTATATATTATTTTAAAAATATGTAAAACTTAAATGACAGACTCTCACACTTCGACATCTAGTTTGTAATTTGACGGAACGTAATTAGCGGGAATACGTTAATCTATATATATATAATTGCTAGCTAACTCCATTTAATAAAACATTTAATAAAAACATTTTCATTTTCCCTCCAAAAGAAGTTACATTTTTTAATTAATTATTCATTAATTTCATATTTAAGAAGGTTTCTTTTAGTTAAACTTAATTAGTTAATGGCTAAATTAAAAAAGTTTCTTTTAATTAATCTCACATTTATGTTTCTTATTCTCATTTATATATATAAACGTAACAGTCATTATTGTTGTGCAGAAATTATATATTATTATTTTTTATTTCATTATTAAGCAATTAAAGTTATAAGAAATATTAATAAATGTATTAATTACAAACATTATAAGAAAGATTAGTAGTATAGATACATTTAAATGACATATAATTTATAAACTTAGACTATACGCATAATAAGATGAATTAAAAAAAATTAATGAATTAAATAAATAAATTATTATTATAACACAGTCTATATAATTATTATAACAAAGTCTATATTGTCAATATTATCATTTAAAAAGTTCATTGAAAAAACATATGTATAAAAAAAAACCATATGATCATAATTAATAGTGTAAAATTAACTATCTTTGACTTTCTATTTGGTAGTAATAATAAAATATTTTATATTACTACTATTCAATAAAATGCATGATTTATGCATATTTGATTATCACAATCAACATTCTTTTTTTTATAAATTAAAAAGTGTGTTGAATAAATTGTCTCATATTTTTCATTAAAAAAAATAACTGTTGGCCGTGAAAAAAAAATATTATTTCACAATTATAAATATAAATATGATTAATATTCATTAAATAATTCCTCTTTAAGAAAAAAGTGGTAGGACAAATTTCTGCATGATTATAGCATCAAAACATATCCCAAACATCAATATTTTAATGCATTAAAAACATACTTTCAGCAACAGAAAAGTCATATTAAACGGAAATTGGCAAAGTCAATAATGAGAATTGACAAGGCATTGTATGTAATGACAGATTGTTGCATAATATAGAAATATCAAGCATAATTAATAATCAACAAAAAAAAGTCAAATCTATATGAAAAAATCAAAATTAAAAACACAGTAAATTATGTGGAATATTATTGAACACTATACAATATAGAAAGAAAAATAATTTGATTTCCCTATCATTATCAACACATTCAACTTTTACCAAAACATCTGCCTTTATATTAAAATCGTTTTTTTGCGTAAAAGTTTTAAAAACAAAAATTCCTACAGATTCTTTTAAACATTAAACAAGAAATTCCTAACATGTGATAAATATATCTAAACAGATTTGTTATAAACTTACCTAATATTTTCAAATTTTGAACAAAATACTAAAAATTTTCAAAAAGCGATTTTGAACAAGTGTTTGCAAAGCTTCACTTACTGATATGATGAGAAAGACGACAAAGAATTGAACTATTTAGTTTTCAAAATCTGAACAAAATACATAAAAGTTACATATGTATGTTATAACCACAAACGTTTTAAATTGTGTTGATAGAAAAACCACAAACGTTTTAAATTTCCAATGATTATATTATGATTTTTACTATTGTTTATATATTTTTATTATTTTTTGTTCTATTATATTGTTTTCCGTGCAAATGCATGGGTTAAAAACTAGTACTACTAAACAGTGATTAGAGGCGCAGCATTTGAGAGCTGGGGCCTGATAATTGGGAGGCTGTTGACTGTTGTGTTCTTTACTGTCATCCATTGTCTAAATATTATATTATTTGTATTTGTACTCTAGCACAGACCTTTGTTACTTTGTGACGAAGAAAAGTACATTTTATAATCTTTCCTTTGGCTATTGTTATGCTATGCGTTTAAGAATTTTAAGGCTAATGCTCTCAAACTTGGACATAATTACTTGAGCCCAAGTGCGGACATAGCTCATAAAATAGTGGGGCCTACTTGTTTCTAGAAAATAAATACTAATTCTTATTTTTTTTTTATGTTATTTTATTTTTATCAATCATTAATCAAATAAATCACGTTTTGGATCTAATGTATATAGTTTTCCATTAGAGCATCTACAATGCATTGGGTCTAGTCTTGCTTATGTGGCATGTAAATAAACTCAAATCTTGGATGACATAGATAAAACTATTTAAAATTAGCAAAATCCACTCCAATGTAAAACTTGGGTCTAAAATAGACTTAAGGGTAGAGTGAGTCTCTTTTTCTGGCTGCCACATCAACAGGACTCAGTCTACTTTTATTTGCATTGGAAAATTTATTTTTTTAGACTTTGTCTATTTCTTCTTAGGTGACATATAATTTTGTTGAATTGAACCGAAAGCATTGTGGATGCTCTTATTACCCTCATTTAGTTAATCAATACACTACGTCTTTTCATATTCACTCTTCATCTTTTCTCAAAACATTCATCTCTATCTTCATTAATGAGGGTTATTGTTGGCAAAAAAAAAAAAAAAATCTTAATTACTGTACAACTTCTCAAAACGACACTTATTATGGGAGGGAGTATAATACATCATAACAAGGCAAAAATGTAAAAATACATACTCATAGAAATTCATATGAATTCTTATGAGTTTTTTTAGTTTGGTATAACTCTACAATTAAGGTTTTTACATTTTATATCGGCCTAACAATATTATAATTTACCTCAAGTATATTTAGACTAAAAGTAGTTAATTTTGAAATATTTTCACATGCACTTTTCTGTCGAGACTATTTATAAAAATATTTATCTATAATTTAATATAAAAAATAAATTATAATGTATAAAATGTTTTATCTAATATATCAGACTTTTAAGAGCCCTCAAATTATCAGTCGTTAAATATGTTAATAGTCATTTAAGAAATAACATTCAATCTACAAGTTTAATTTTTTTTATTTTTATATCAAATCTAATAAAAAAAAGATTATATTTACTTTCACCAAAATCAACAAGAACAGTTATTTCTTTTTCCTATTATCTTTTTCTTTGCCCATTCACTATCTTTTGCCCATATTTACCTTCTTTGAGTTTTCATTGTTTTTTTTTTTTTTTATTAATGGATTATTAAACAAGTTTTGAAGTAGGATATATAAGATGTATATTTTTTTCCAGTGTGGGCCTAGGCCCACACTGGGCCTTATATGGCTACGCCCCTGTTCGAGCCAACCGATTTAATCTGGGTTCAATTATGAAACCGGTTCTGTTTATTGGACATAAGTAACAAATATATTGCAATTATTATAAATATACTAGTTTATAGTTCGTGCGATTCACGAGATAATAATGATAAATTTTATATATTAAAATAATAAAATAATATTAATTAGTAAAAAAATAGTTTTTAATACTAATATTAATTTTTATCTTTTACTTTATATTTATGATATGTAAAAGTTGAAGAAAACAAGTACATAATAATGTACAT